CATTATTATACTTTCTACTGTTAAAGCAAATCAATTGGGGTCTATCGGTTTCCTCTCCAATCTCAACAAGACTAATGTCGCTTTGACAAGGGCAAGGTGAGCATTTTTTTCATTAATTTATCAAAATACACCTAACTTATCCAACTATTTAACATTTTATTCCTTTTTAACTATTCAAACATTTTACTCCTTTTCAACTATTTAACATTTTGTTGGGCTTTTTGAAATTAAATGATATGAAATGAGTAAAGTATTAAATAGTTCATCCCTTAGATGTATTTTGATAGATTCCCCTCAATTTCATCGTTGTATTGTTCATGGTTTTTTCTTCTGTGTTGGTGAGTTTATGATTTGTTGTTTTTATTCCTCGCAGAAATAGCCTCTGGATTGTGGGCAATGCACCGACTTTGATTAAAAGTGGTAGTATTTGGTCAGAATTGGTTTGTGATGCTGCTATGGTGAGAGGCTGTTTCTTTAAAATCAATGAGGACCCTGATTTGGTTAAAGCCAGCCGTCGTGAATTTAACAGACAAGAATCACACGGCAAAATCTTCGAATCTGCAGGTATGCCCTCTTAATTTATACTCTCTGTATTCTAAGCCAAGTTAATATTCTCCTTGCATCTTCTATTTTATGTTTGTATGAGTTTTCAATTGTACATCATTGTTTTGATGTAGTGTCAAATATTTTTTATTTATTCCATCTTTATTGCACTTTACTAAACTGACTTCCATAATGTTCTCATGTGCAGTTTACTTAAAAACTGCTTCTTGTACTTGTGATACTAATTGTTCGAAGTCTATATCGAATAACATGCATCCTATAATTTTGTGACTATTGATTAATTATAGGAATGTTGAATTATTTATGAAACTTTTTTTTATTTTGCACGCAGACGACTTGGCCAATGAATTATGGGGCCACTTTGCTGAGCTCATTCCAAACTGAGGGCCTGAGCCATCTGATCCATGTTAGGGGGAAAAACATGGCCTCGTACAATACAAGTCCTTCGGTTAATCATTATGGTTTTTGCCCTTATGTTCTCTATAAGGGCTTATTTCGTTTTGGAAAAAGTTTCTATACTTTCCACGGCATAAAAAATCTATGTTTCCCCTATTTTTCAGCGCCAAATTTGATCAAGAGAGTCACTCACCATTTCATCTTAGATCCGATGTCTCAAAGTATTTTATTTTTAATTTGTTTTATAAAAATTATATGAATATGAAATTTGGTATGTGCCATCTTCTCATTGAGGCATACCTATAAAAAAAACATTAAAAGTAATTTTTTGATAAAATATAATTACCAAAATACACTTTGAAACTTTCAGAATTATTTTGTTCATTCTATTTATTGGAAATATTATTTTTATATTTTTCTCTAGTGCGAAATTAATAAAAAATTGGACGTACAAAATTTGGTGTCAAAATAATTTTAAAAAAAATAAAAAATAACCTAGAGACATGACATTGTGATTGAAACAATATTAGCCCTCCATTCACAATAGAGGGTTGGATAAAAGGAAGTATATAAGATTTATGTTGTAGGGGAAGCATCGAAAGCTTGCCCTTTGGTTTATATGCTCTGAGTAAGAATTGAGAAGTTGGGATTATGGTTTTGGGGAGGATGTTATCGAACCGGGTTCCTTCTTATTTGAAAAGTTATCCCGGATATATCCAAGCGAAAGTCAGAGTCTGAGACCCACTTAACGCTTTATGGGAATTTTTTTGGCAACCCTTGTTACAAATCACAAGCTCCTTCATGGGCTACACCAGTTGCCTGCTACGAACTCCATTCAGAGATGAAAGCCTCAAATTCATATCATTAATTAATGTTTCATATAAGTTGGCCACATGCGTAGGGTAAGACGACCCTTGGGTCCACTTCATGGCGCCTTCTTTTTGATAAGATCCATGACCAGATTGGGTACGATAATTTACTTCTGTGGAATATGATTGAAGAAAATGATCTTTTATGTCCAATAGATACCTTACCCTCGGCGATTGTGAAATATCTGCCCCACAAATTTTTACAAGAATTGATACACCAATTAACAAAATGAGATGGACAAAGTCAAAAGAAAGAATAACACAAAAATTAACATCGAGTGTATGAGGAATTGAGGATTCACTACTTTCGAGTGGAGGCTATCGTCTTCCACTCGGCCAACGAGTGAATGAAAGAATTGAGGATTCACTACTTCATCTTCCACTCCAACGCTACAGTAGATTTCCGAATCAAGTCATGTTTGTGATCTTACAAAAAAAACCTTATAATTAATAAATAAAGTGATCAGAAATTTTATTTATGTAAAGAAAATTTTCCGAAGAATTCAGATGATACAGGAAAAACATTTGCATGAAAAAGAAAAACTGTAACAATAAAGTTAAACGAGATAAAATCATATAAGTACGATGATTATGTTAATAAAAAACAACATCTGCAGTCACCATACCGAAAAAACTTCTATGTGCCACTCTTTTTCTTTCAATATAGCTTGTAGCCTTTTCAAAGGATGGCCCATATTGAAAAGAAACGGATGGTTTTCACAACCCAGCGTGTTCTAGCTACAACGCCATCAAAGTTTTTAAGAAATGTTAAGAAAATGATTGAACATATGAAAAATGAATTTGATAGAAAAAAACCATTTTTCTCTTTTATTTTTTTTAGTATTGACAGAGTGAGTCATTATGATAAAAATAAATAAATAACTAATAATAAAAAAAAAGCCCTTCATTTCAGCCAAGTTCACTTCTGCTAAATCACAACAAAGTAAGCATATGAATGCCATTCTGACCTATAACATGCAATGTCATGAATCATCTGTTCCTAGATATGCATAACCTTGTTCAATATAAAATTAGAAAACGTTGAACCAGGTTTATTCCAGTAAAAGGGGATCGAAACATTATCGGATGTCTGAGACCTAGGAACCAAAGATTTCAAGTCAAGTCAAAACTTACTGAGACTTTGAAATTCATAGAAAATTTGGTCTTTTGGTGGCTATTGACAAATCTGCGATGTAATAAATAACAAAGAAAGGACAATGCAGTTTTGATCAGCAAATTCTCCAAGAAAAACCAAGGTTCATACAGTATAATAAAGATTTAATAGGTCAAAAAATTTAGCAGAAAATACGACCCTACTCTTATGAAAAAAGGAGAACCATTCAAAATAATCATGGTAGGATTGCCACAGAAATGACTGGAGTATGATCATATACAAAAACATGTCATCGATCACCTGAGGTCCAATCTTGCCATGGTTGACAGGCATATACCTTAACACTATCTGTTTATATAGCATGTTTCGAAAATGGTACTAACTTTGAAAGTGTTTACTTTGTTTTAAATTGAACATATATTCATGGCATGGTTGCCAAAGTTCCCCTTGCATTAAAATCTGAATTGCAATGGTCCATAAAAATACCCCACAAGTACAAAGGATGAGATTTTCATCCTGATGATGACCACCTCGAGGATTATGTTGGGGCATTAGAAGCATTAGGCAACCGCGTTGATGCTGATGATGAAGCTCGTCAGAGTGCTCCAGTACCAAGGCTTGTCCCTCCTACTACATCTTCAGGTCATGACACAAGTTTGGCATGCACCATTCCCTCGGAGTCCCAGCAACCCAGAATCCTACCATTCAAGGTTCATCTTCTTCAAATGTAGTCTCCTTTGCTTCCATTGTTTCTTAAAGGCTGGCTCTACGAAGGGGCAAGAGGACAAGATGAACTACTCTCTCTCTCTCTCACAGATGTAAAAGATGCTTTTTAAAGCTTGAAATGAAAAGATATATTCTCATCTCACAACTAAGAGGATTCATCATTGTGATTTAAGAATCTAAAACAATAGGACATCATAAATATAAGATCTTAAATGAAATAGATATTCTCACAACTAATAGGAATGGATTACACAATAGGACTTAATAAAATAATGGGTCACTCTAGACTATGCTTAGGTCAAATTAAGAATCTAAAATAATGGAACTTTGTGCTATGCGCTAACAACACATGACTCCACTAAGAAAAGGCTAACACCAAATAGCATGCTCCATTCTGTTTCTCCATCCAAAATCTCTTATGTTTGACTTGGATCTCAACCTCATATTCCCTCTAAACCAATACTTAATTGATTAACTCATTTCAGATAGAAATTCAAACTGTCCAATCCCTAAGCACTCATCCACACCATCAATTCTTCTCCAAACAAATCCAAAATAGATTTAGTTTCTTCATGCCCCAAGTTTAAATGCCTTGGTAAGAAATTTTGAGCCAATCAGAGCCTTGAAAGTGTGACCTCCTTCAGAGAAAATAAACTCAAGGAAGCCTATAAAAATGAAACCTTACAAGTTTGTACCTAGACAAACTGTCAGCAACACAACGGAGAAACTGTTTAATGAATCCATCTTATGTTATTCTCGGTAAAATGTATGATGATGAAACTGTATACTTTTCTTGGCCCTCTGGCGAGGATCAAGTGTTGCATGACAAAGCCTTTCAATCAGAGATTGCAGAGAGACAACATAAAGAATAAAGTAAGGAATACAAGATAAAGCATTGAAAGCTTGCATATAGCTCAGTAAATCCACACAATTGAACCAAATCGAAAGATAAGACCTCATCCCAAGAACATTTATTTCTTTAATGCCTGCCCAACCTCCATACCTTCGAATGTCTGGTAAGATTTTGTAAGGCCCTAATCACCCATCACATCATCAATTCTTCTCCAAACAAATCCAAAATAAACTAGTTCTTTTACAAACATTTTGGTAAGAAAATTTTCAGAAAATCAGAGCCTCACGAGTGTGACCTCCTTCTGAAAAAATATGCTCAAGGGACCTCACCTTAAAAATAAGGAAAGAATCCTTTCAAGTTTGAACCAAGACAGAGCCCCAGCTACACAACAGAAAAAATGTGTACTGGATCCTTTTTTTCCTTTGGCTATTTGTATAATCATGAAAATTTATAGCCTTTTGGCCAAGATCATGCGCAGTATAATGAATCCTTTTGATAAAAGATGCAGAGCGAAAAATACAGGATGCAAAGTGAGGATTACAAGATAAATCATTGAAAGCTTGCATATGTCTCTGCAAATCGAGACAACTAATCGAAATGAAAGATAAAACCTCATCCCAAAATCATCTATTTGTTTAATTCCTCCCAAACCTCCAGACCTTCAGGGTGGAGACTGACAAACCTCTCAATAAACCTCTTCTCTGAACAGGAAATAATACTACTTATAGTCAATGTGTGGCTGGTTACCCCTTTCTCCTTGAGCCAGTCATACATTGAAAACCTAAGCTTGATCCTTCCCACATCATAACAAAGAAACCAGGGATAAGGCAGCAAACATTTCAGAGGATACCCAAATCTATTTACAAGGAGATCTATCTTTATCAGGAGCTTTTCTTGGCTTTGTTGCAATACTGGAGGAGCAAGCTTTGTCATGTGAGAGACTTCATTAGGTTCAAATCCTGCTCCTACTAAACAGTCATATCTCCCTTGTAATTCATCCCCTTTGCCTTTAAACTGCTTCACAGCATTGACCATCTCCTTTGAGTTCTCAACAAATCCTAATTTTAACAAGAATTGCATCTTCTTGAGTAATGATAGCTCATCCTCTGAGGGACCAGAAACTGGGTGCAGCTTCGTCCCCAATCCCCAATCTCTTAATCGATTTGGGTCCTCTAAAATTATCAAGCCTAAACGTTTGATCCCCACATTCAGCTGTTGCTTCACCGATTTGGGCCTTTTTAAAGTGCATGAACTCAAGACACGAGGGTGTGAGTGCACGAGCCTAACTATATCCCCGACTTTTAACCTAGCTCCATATAGGAAATGTATCGCATGCCAAAAATTCTTCACTAGATTTGGGCTTGAATCTCTCCGGAAATTCCAAATCAAGCTCATGATATCATTTATGTGAAAACCCAATTTCATCGATAGAGCAATCAGAATATACATATTCTCTCCTGAACCTTCGAAGAAGAAATTTGGGTGCTTCTCAATAACTTCAGCTAATTCCCCCTTCTTGAAACCCATCCTTTCCAAAAGGGACAATAATCTCCACATTCTTTTCCAATTATACTTGTTCTTTGGGGATAAACACCCCCCTACCCAATCTTTTTCAATACCCAAACCTTCAATTTCTACAATTAACCTAGAAAATTCCTCATTAACATTCCCAACAAGAAGAGAAGGACAAGAAGCCACAATCTTTACAACAGTAGTTTGACTGAAACCCAGCTCCTCACAAGCTTTGAGCTTCGAAAGCAAGACACCGTCTTCATGCCTGAAAATTTCTCTCTCTTCCTTGTACATATTCCCTATCTCACTATGCAAAACACCATATTTACACAGAACATGGAGATTGTCTAACAATAATTGATCATCACTTAAGAACATAAGGCCACGAGGGAGTAGAGAGGCAAATTCACAAGGTTTTAGCCCCAAGCTTTCAAATAATGGCTCGAATTCATTAATGGGATGGTATCGTAAAAACCTCGCAATTGAGCGACCAATCTCTTGCTTGTTCACAACTTTTGATAGGAGGTAGTGAATAGAAGTGGGTGAATTCTTGCTTATGTGCTCTGCGTCAGTGAAACTTAAGCATCTCGTGAAGTGGAGATAGTCCAAGAGAGCATCTTCAGCTTCCTTGCGAGCAAACCGAGAGATTCGGGGACCGGAGTGAGCAGAGGTTGATGGAGTCTCCTCTGGAATGGAATCAGCAGAGGAATGTACGGCTCTTGGCCTGTGAAGAAACGGGTTGCTCTGCAAATTTAGGGCTAGGTTTTTGTACAAAGGATTTTGGGGGCAAATTGGTTTTTTCTGAAAATTTAGAGTTAGCATTCGAGCCAAAAGATTTGGGGAAAGAGTTGGGCATTCCTGGAAATTTCGGGTTAGGGTCTCATCCAAAAGATTTGTTGAAAAAGTTCGGTTTTTAGGTTGTAATAACACGGTGCATACTTTATGAGCTGCTTTCTTTAGGGAATGGGAACAATGGGTCATGACGAATTGCGGAACAATGGCAGCTAATGTAAAAATGTAATAGTAAAGCGATTTTTTACCATCTATGAACAGTTCGCAAGCCTGCATTGACCGGGTGTCTCTGCAACTCTAGTGTTCGGATTACGTTTTCTCAAAAACACTCTGGCAAACTCCTGGACCTTTCATCTGTTCAAGCATCGCAATGTCCCTCTTTTCTATAGGTGAAGGAACGTTTGATAATGGAAAGTTGCAGAATAATGGGGTGCTGAGATCAATTGAGAAAGAATGAGCCTTTACGGACGACACAAGCTAGAAGGCCACCAATAGATACATAATGTGTTTTCCCTGCAAAGTTTTAGGGTTAGGGAAAAATGGCTTCATTTCTATGCAATCTCAGGATCGAATAGGTCTCCCAAAAGCACGAGCGAGAAAATAGATGGAGGTTGGTTTTCTCTGCAATTTTAGGGTTTTCTAGGACATCGTCTGAAAACCGTTTCGCTTCGCGAACTTGGCCGTCTGGTGGGCGCTTTAAGGGAGGTTAGGCGAGACCTGAATCTTGTTTGGAGAAAATATCTAGGGAAAGTTATTAAAACCTCTTTGGGTAAACTTTCTTTATATCCTCCCCCAATCAAGCTTTTTACTGTAATTTTTACCTCAAATCGAACCTCTACGGCAAATATCCCCTATTACTTTTGCGGATACTTTAAATGTATATGAAAGAGTACATTTCCATAAACACTCAATCACCAAAGATGATTACGCACATTATTGTTGGACCGGAACCCATATCACATTAATTGCCAGACCACAACAGCAATCTGTCGAACTGCATACAATTTATGCCATACTGAGGTATCGTAGCGTTGGACCGACAAAATATACTCTTGGACTGACCAAATATGTTGAACTATATGGAACATAATGGTGGACCGTAGGGCAAATATGCCAGATAGTATGGCCCATGTTGCCAGACCGCATTGACTATAAATTTTTGTATTGGGATAAAAATTGCAATGCAAAAAACTAATTGGGAGGAGATTGTCTAGAAAACCCAATTTGGCTGGTTTTTATAATTCCCCCTTTAAAAAGATCAACCTCAACAAATAAAGAGAGAGATATCAAATTATATTTATCAACAGTTGAACTATCTAACATTTTGAAATGCCAGATAAATGATTCCTATTGCGAATGTCATTTGGAATTTTGTTTAAAGAACTTCAAGCTAACCTTGTCCTGAAATTATAATCCTACACAAGTGAGGGCATTTTAATAATTTGAACCACTTAACTCATTCAAAACAAATGATATGAATACTTTTATTTATTATGAGTTCCAAACCTAGACTATATTTTTATTGAAAATATTTTTTTTGGATTTGTTATATATTTTGGTAATTTGGATCCACTAATGTGAGCCGAAGGCATAAACATCCACGCATATTCCAATTTCTAAATATGGAAAAAGATTTGTGAACAACAAAATATTTGCTAAAAGTGTTGGGTGAAATTGAGCAAAAAATAAAAAGTAAACGAAACAAATAAGCTTTAATCTCTTTGATCCCAAGCCCAACAAATCACTTTCTCAAGACAACATTTGCTCCTTCCTAATATGAATTTGTGTGCATCTATGTTTTTACCAAGCAAATTTATCTCCAGGATGCACAGGCGCAAAGCATTGAGGATTTTGACTTGCCAATTTAAATGCACAACTATTACAAGTTCTACGGCACTAAAGTTGCCTCTTTTCCTAAAAGACAAAGTGATAGCAATAACACTAGGCATGTAAGCTTCTTGTTAAAACTTGATAAAACTTGTTTCTAGTTATAGAGAGATGAAGCCTAAAAAAAAAATTTACTAGGCTTTTGAAGCTTCTGCTCCTTAAATAATTCATTTCTTCACATGAAGAATGATATCTTCCTTGTAGACTTCTCTAAATTCTTTTCTTTCCAATGCTGGCCAAACCTTTCAATTCAGTAAACCTAAAAGTACGCATTATATCACCACTTATTAAGAAGGATTAAGTCACTGTTTAAGTGTTCAAGTCTTCTAATGCCAAGACTATGAGGTATACGAGGTGACTTGCAGTTCACTAAATAGCATTTTTTTCTTCTTCTCAACACCCCTCCACAAGAAATTCCTTCTCATGTTTTCAGGACTTTGACTAACCATCCATGTCAAGTATTCTCTAAAAGATTGTTCCATTTCAACTATTAAACCTGAAAATATAATTTAAGATGTGTATCTCAATGGCTAACAGATTAGTCAAATTTGGAGACAAGACTATTCATACCCTTATGAGTTTACTCCTTGTTTTTTTGGGTCCAAGCTCTTGGCTCCGAACTACAATCACAACTGTCGGTCTCTCTGCAAGTGCTTTAAAACCTCCGATTGACTGGGTGAAGCGGCCATTTTGGAAATCCGATTTGGATCTGTGAATCAGACCGATTATTTAGTGTGAGAATTGGTCCAATTTTTTTAAAAAAAAATAAATTGAAAAATAAAACATAAAATTATCATGTGTGGGAACCAGGGAATCCGGTGAGTCAGGATCGCCGAATCCTAAATAAAACCGAGCGAGTGCTCACGAACTAATTCCCGGTCCCAACGATCTATCGATTTGAATCAGCAATGTCTACACTATTATCTCCCAATCTGAGGTCTATTTGTGTTGGCGCGCTGTAATATGATCCATTTACATATCGTGAACACCATCACAATCCACTTGAATTGTGATCGAGTGCTACACCGTTTTTGCCGTGCCAATGTGGACCATACTGTATATATATATATTACTTAGTTGTGTATCTAATTCGCCATTCCTTAGGTGTGTATCTAATTAACTCGATATTTTGGTGGCAATTTAAGAAAAATCCTTGGTACAAGTTTGATGTGTAAAAGGAAAAAGTACATAATGAGACTATTTACCTTTGGTATTGGGTGGTCACATTAATCTTGACTATTGAATGAAAATTTAAGTAGCTGATTTTATTCTATAGTCAAGCCCAAACTTCAAAAGAAATTTTTTTCGAATCTTGTGACACATCCAAGCTATCAAATTTCATATTGTTAGTAATTGTAACCACCTTGTATCAAAGGTAAATTGTTTTATTGTATACAATCCCATTTAAAGGTAAACGGTCTCTTTCATTTTGGATGAAATTTCTCTTTGTGTCCAACGAATCACAACATGTGCATGTGCATCCCACCAATTAAAGTCCGTCTTAGAGATGGATTTTGAATTTAAATTTTTAAGAGGTTATGATTTAGGCATGTTGATCTTGAAAATGAAAATAAATAAATCATCAAAAGTAATTTTTTTCTTTTTTTTTTGGCACCATTAGTTTTGCGTGCTTATTTCTCAACATTCACCTTAAGATAGATGTTGGATTGTCACGGGCCACATGGGTCCTCATATAACACTTTTCTTTTTATGTTTTACCTAAAAATTCTTATCTTTCATTTTATTTTATTTTCAAATGTTTTTCATACTATCTATGTTTGGGGTTTTTTCTAAACTAAGATATTTTATTAAAAAATTTCTTATGTGAAAAAATAGTCCGAAAGGTAAAAGTTCCAAACCCATTTTTAGTTAAAATAATGTTTAGAACTTGGATTTCCAAACCCAAATCCCAATTAAGAAGCAATTGTGCTGTCTAGAGATTAAAGTTTCGTGCCCAACTTTCACACTTATATTTTCTTAGTGACATGGTGTATTCTAAACTTAGCGTTCTTAACACGAATTTAACTCAAAATTGAATCTAAAAACTTGTAACTTTAGGAATGCTTCTACATGTACACCGTTTTTTGAGGCTCCTTTTTTTTGGGTGAGAAGAAACGTGTTCAAAGAGACCATTTTCTTTTAGTAAAATGAGATCACAATAATTGCTGTCCTTCAGATTTTGAATCGGTTGTTTGTGAGCATGTCATCCATCGCTAATATGGATGTCAAAAACTGGTGCCTCCACTGGCTATCAAAATGGACGGTGGAAAAAAATAAATAAATCAAGAAACATCATTTTTACTTTGCCAAAAAAATATTCTGGATTCACTATCATCTTCGCTGTTGATAGTAGCAAATCCTAAAATTTTGATCTGAATTTGATTTTTGAGATGTATTTTTGGAGGGGGACGCACATAAAATATATTTTGATCTAACAAGGCAAGTCTGGGGCCGAAAAGGATTGAAAAATAAAAGAAAAAGGAAACAAACATAGAAGTTTCTTTTTCAAAAGATATCAAAACTGATTCTAGGGTGGTTTTCGTTTAGGTGTGGTTTGAAAATGGCTTAAACAATCCAATTAAGGTGCACATCCAAATTTGATATCAAAAGATTATTAGGATTTCCTGAAAATCTATTTCCAACTCTAATTGTAAAATTTTAAAGATCTATAAACATATGAGATTCTTGATAATGTGTTACAAGTGCATTATTTATAGGAATTGAAATCTGTTTTTTTTATATTCATATATCTCGATGTTGAAATGATCAATTAGAAAGTTTTTCAACATTAAAATAATATTTCCAATCGATTTTTAAGGCGCAACCTTAATTCTACATTAGATTACATTTTAAGGTTGCAACCTTATATCAACTTTTTGCTTTCCTTTTTATCAAACTACAGTTGCAAGGGTCGGTGCATGTTAGATATTAGTCCAAAAATATAGTGTCGTTTTCATTTTGGTAAACATATTTTTGTTCAAATTAAGGTCACAATCATGATCCTTCCTGTGAGACCCTGCCACACCCCAATGGCAATGGCAATGGCAATGGCATAAGACCCCTCAAGATCACCGTTAAACTTATTCTCCATCTCGAGATTGGGAAGAGGGTTCATTGGCTAACCACTCTCTCTAAAGCCAGTTACCGGTAACAATAAAGTAACACCACCCACATCTCTTTTTAGAACTCTCCAAAATGCTCTCTCTCTCTCTCTCACTATAACCAACCAGGAACCCACTCTCTCTAAAGCCGAGGCATGCTCCCCTACCTCTCTCTCTAATGGTGGCACGAATAGTAATCAACCCATTCTCTTTGAAACTAGGGCACATGGAAAGCTATTCTATTTCTTCGAAACCAAAGATACTCTTTTTCTCCCTCTTTTATTTGTAACAGAGCCAATACTTCTCCCACTTGTCGTTCTTTCTCACTCCCTGCAATCATTCATCTCCTCTCTCTATCTCCATTCTCACTCTCTTTCTGAAACCTTGGACCCCTTTTCTTCCACTCTGTCTCTGTCTCCTTTCATAGCCTTTGGCCATATCTCCACAAGATAAATTTTCAAAACCTTGCCCCACCATTGACTTCTCCAAATCTCTCCTTGCCTCCAATCAAACCCCCAAATTTCTCCTTCTAAAATCCCAAAATATCTCACAGAAAACCCCAAATCTCTTCCTCCTTTGATATCTAGAAACCCACAAGAACCCTAATCTCTTCCTCCTTTGATATCTAGAAACCCACAAGAACCCTAAAGCATGGATAATGAAAACCCTCCCAGATCTCTAATAAAAGTCTAGATTGAATGGTAGGGAGCTGCAAGTTTAAGAAACTTGAGTTGGGAGTTGCATATTCAAGAAGGTTTCTTTGATTCAGTTACGGTTATTATATACCTATTTTAGTGGGTTTTTATCTGTATTTCTCTCTTTTTTTTCTTTTTTGTGGCTATTTTATAGTGGTTTCATATTATTGCACTGAGTTTTTGTTATTTTTAGTTTTATATTTTTGTATTTTTAGTTGAGTCCACTGGTTGTTTAGCATTGCATTTATTGTGGATATTTCTTTTAATAGAATATGAGTTTATAAATTATTCTCCCTCTATATTATGTCTTATCATTTTGATGTTTCTATTAGGTTTGGGCTACATTTTTATGATGAACCATGAGATAGTGGCTTATGACTCGATAGAATCTCCAGTTTACTTTGTTTGAAGTGGTGGCATTGAGGACTCGAGAAATTTTTCCATTATTCATTTTTAGAGGTAGTGGCATTGAGGACTCAAGGAACTTTGTTGAGGTAGACTCAAGATCATCTCCTCTTCCACTTCTTTTTTTCTCTTTGAACTTCCCAATTCTTTCTCTAACGCACTCTCTTTTATAATCTCTATTCTTATTAAATTACCCGATTTCCATGACAGGCAGTGTCCACCGGAGAGCATTATTTTGTGGTTATCAAACATGGCCAAAAGAGGAGGATCACTTTGGAAGATAAAAAATTGAGCAAAAATAAATAGCGACATACGGTCATGTAGGCAAAAACGAGTAAGATGACACATTTTTGCCCCCTTGCACGTATATAATTCTACTTATTGATGTGAAGAAGGCGAAATGCAGGATAAGTTGGTCATATGAAAACTAGTAGATTCTTGTTTTACTTGTAAAAATGATGTATTACTTGTTGTTTTAGGCCATGTACCATTGGCATTAACGGTAATGTAAGACTAGTAGATTCTCATCATATGTTGTAATGGGATTTTGAGTTGGGTTTTTGTTGTGGGTGTAACTTTCATGAGGTGTAGTACTTGTTTTGGAATTTGATTAGGAGTGTTTTTATTTGGATCACGCTCATTTTTAAATGACGAGTTCGATCTTGATTGAATGCAATTCACATGACAGGACTTCAATTTTGAATAGAGGTTCTGTTCATGATGGGATGCAATCTAGATCGGGTCTATTTACATCAACCATATACTTTGTGACACAAAGTTCCCCATCAAGAGAGATAGAGGAGAAATTTTAGCTCAGTTTAATACGACAAATGTATTTTACTCCCAGTTTCAATTATATTCTTGCAGAATGTGGGTTGTTCCAAATTTAGGCGTTGTTGTTCCTGTAAGTATGCTTGGTCCAATTAAGATCTTTACATGTTTCAACATTTGCACCGGCACGATTACAAGAAGAAGCAGCCCCTAAAATCATGTTAATGTGAAACAAATCAAAGCCGGATAACCATTACATGAGAGTTGAATAACCAATTGAACTTGAAAATAAAAAGAATGGGTAATGGCTAATGAAGTGAGGGACAAGCCCGTGGGGAAACCCAACTTTCATCTATTGTTAAGCATATTAATTCCCCCATAGACGCCTTCGAGGTGTGCCAAATCCTGACAGGAACACTTTTGAGGTCCCGAAAACTGAACAAGTAAGTGTATGGTTAACCTCCTTGGATGCAGGCATCATGTTAAATGTTTGAATGGCAAAAACAAGCATACTGCCTGCCATAGCCAGTAGGGGCCTACAACCATGCAATTAGACATTGAGGGCACAAAATGTGCTCAACTAAAAACTCCTAGGAACGCAGAGATGATGATTCAACTTATTCAACCAAAATGAAATTTGGGCATTCTCATCAACAATTTTTTGTTTTGAAAATTACATTCAGGATTTACAAGTACCACATGACTCCAATAAATAGCAAAATCAATGAGCATGCATCCAAAAAAACTGATCATCGATAATTCCATATAATTATTTCTTAAATATAAAGAAACGGATACCACATAAATATGTTCGTTTTCTAAGCAATTTATAAGCCAAAAATAAAAGCATGTGCCCCCAGAATTTTTAGGAAAATCCACATCATGTCAAAAATAAAGAAAACAATTAATATCGACAGTCAAAATCTTTGCAAGAAATTATTCATTTTCCATAAATTTCACTGCAAGAAAACAAAAGTGTATCAAAAAAATCGACAATATATCATAAAATTTCAGAAAAAAAGAAAAAAGAAAAGAAAAACAGACGTACCTGCAAATTGCAAATCCTGTCGTGCAAGGGCAAAAAAAATCTTCAAACTTTGAATGAAAACCTACAAAGTTCAATGGAATCCATAACTTTCAATCAAAATATTAATCACTAAATATCTCATCTTAGATAAAAGCTCCATTTTGTAACAGATATGGAGAAAAACGAGAGGAAGATAAGAGTAATAGATGTAAACGCCAATCGGTAAGTGTCCTACGTAAAATAAAATTCAGGGGAGGCCTTTGTGGAGAAGATTCACAGTGGTATATTTGAGTATTTCTCTCATTTTTTGAGGGGAAAGAGGGAAGAGAGAAGATAGATAACGAAATTGGATAGTCCATAGAAGAGGCAATGGGAGAGAAGAGAAAATAGAAGAGGCGATGGGAGAGAAGAGAGAAGAAAGCGAGAGGTGGAGAGATAGAGTACATGCTAGATAAAAATCTGTGCCCTTGTTTTCGATAGAAAATCTCCATCGAACCTGATTGTAGAGAGAGAAAATTCCTTTCAGAACTCTTGTGCCCCAGTTTAGGTTGGAGGAAAACCCTTAGAACTATATTTTAGAGAGAGAAAAGGCCATTCAATACTCATACGTCCCAATCCTGGTTGGAGAAAAACCGCTATTGGAACCATATTTTAGAGAGAGAAAAAACCTTTCATTGCCTTTGTGCTTGTCTTTAGTGAGGTGGACTCCTTTTCCATTCTCCTGCTCGAGAGGAGGAGATTGAAGAGATTTACATTCTATCTGGTTTTAGAGAGAGATGAGAGATTCAACGAGAGCATATTTAGAGAGGGAAGAGAGAACGGGAGAGGCATTTTCCTTTTTACCCTCTCGACAGGTTCGCCAGTCACACCTTAATCTCGCGTTCAGATTAGAGATTGATCCAACGGCTTAGATTAGGGGTGGTCCCATGCCATTAAATGTTTATTTGCCATCCATCATCATCAAAATTAAAGGCTAAGTAGGCCTTTTCCCACTGCATGTCTCCTCGCGCTTTCTTAGGTGTCCCTCCACACGTCGCCCAAGGGTCCACTAAACTCAGGCTTTTCAATTTCCCATAAACTGCCGGTTCAGATTCAACCACGCCCTTGCCTTCCCAAAATCTCAGCCGCTGATTTCTCAAAATAAATTCCCCTGGCGAAACATAGTCCACCCCCTGTGTACGAACAGTGGTGTTTTCTTTTTGGGTTTTTATGCCTGATGCCTTTTGGTATATCAACTTTCTCAAAGTGAGAGGACAGTGGTGTTTCTTTTCTTAATGGAGAAGCATTGCTTTGGGATTAAATGGAGGATTGGGGTTTGGTGGTCCATGTAGGGTTTTTGGGGTTTGTGCAGTTGCAGACAAGCCATGGCTAGGAGTGGTGATGAGAGGAAGAAGGGCTTGGGTTTGCTTGATATTGTTTTGAAATGGACCGTTGAAGATGTATATAATAAAGATCTCTATAAGGAGAAGGTTTGATTTATACCGTCTTATTTTTCTTTTTATTTTCCATGATAATTCTTGTGCTCTGCTGATTTTTTGTGGTTTATATTTTTGAATGGCTATATATATATATATACATATTCTGCCAATCATGTTGCGTATTTTGTTGAATTTCAGCGATTTTTTCTACTCTCATTTGATTGATTTTAATATGAATTGTTCTCTCTTCCACTCTTTTTTTTAAAAAAAAAAAAAAAAAAAACTGGAAATTTATCAAAATAACACATAAAGATTGAACTGGTTAACATTTTAATCCTTGGTGCATTTTGTTAAATTTTGAAACCAATTTTGATGTGTTCGGATTCTTGAATTTTGATCAACATGTGCTATTTGAAATTTGATCAAATGAATGATGGGCGGTAAAATTAGATTAAAAAAAGGGAAAATGTTAAATATTTCAAATCTTAGGAAGAGTTTGATAAATTTTCTTTTTAATTGTTTTTTGTTTCATTTTCTTTTGTATTTTGAAATTGCACTAGTTCATTCTCATGGATATTGCTATCAATTGAATTAGCTGGTCGAAGTTTAGATTATACTTATATTACTTATATAGAATAGGGATGGTATACAATGAGACAATTCTCCTTTGGTACAAGGAGATCATAATTATTTGTAATAATTATAACCATCCGATGTGAAATCTAATAGCTTGCGTGAGTCACAAAGTTCGAGAAAAATTCTTTTGAATATTGAATTTTGTGAATAAATACAACCACCAAATTTCATATCCAGGTCGAGATTAATTGTGATCACCTTGTACAAAAGTTAAATGCTCTTATTGTATACTTTTTCTATAAAATTTGGTTTTCGTTAGTATAATATTTAAATTGTAAAACAAAAAAGTATGAAAATTTATTCCGATGTTCTATTTCCATATGATTTCTTTTATTCCTATGTTGTTAATGAAAATTTTGAATTTGTCATGCAATATGTGAGAAATTTGAAACGAATATCTCAACGAGAAATAATAAGTTCAAAATTCAAATATTTAGTAGCATGTTTTAAATTAGGTTCAGAGAATTAATTGTAGGAAAATACATATTATCTCATCTGCTTATAATTTAATTACTAATTACTAATTACTAACAAATACAGGGTATTAGGGTGTCCTCAATAAGATGACAACAATGAGACAATTGCAGTTTGGACAATTATTACCTTCAAGAAAGTATGCATAATAATAATATGAGAAATGATCCTATAGGATCCTCTCTTAAGCATATGTGTAGGATCATCATTAAATTTAGCATGGATCTCTACAAAAGTCAAGTCCCACACCCATATGATATGACAAGTTTTTTAAAGATCTATACCAAATTTAATGGTGATCCTTTGAGGTTCTACAAAGATTGGTGGGGGAAGGTCCTATAGGATCATTACTCATATAATATTACCATCTTTGAAGATAGTAAAATTGGGAAAAGTTTATATAGAGCTAAGGCTCTAAACAATCAAATTAGAGCCCGTCTAAAAAATTTCACTCAAATAAGTTGTTTTGATATCCAAATATTTTCAAATTTATCATCTTGACATCTAAATGTATGGATATAAGAAAAAAAATGGATTTCAAATTTTAAAAATAGTGCATTTCTTGAACCGTCGATTTTTAAGATTTTAAAGTTTTCATAAATCTCCTCGATTTACACTATTTTTGAAGTTTTAAATTTTATAATTAAAGATGAAAATTTAAAGCTATAATAATGGTTTCCAGTATTGAAACCATATTTCTCATCACTATTAATTATTTAGAGCCTCGGCTCTATTCAAACAGCACCTTTTGGAAAAACACTCTAGAGCTTTGCCCCAAATTAAATATGGACCTTCCATTTTGATTGATGGTAAATCTAATGGAATTTTTGCTCGATTTATTTTTTATTTTTTTTGTCTTGATGCATCACATTTGACTGGAGAAGGTTTCAGTTCACGCGTATCCCCTTAAATTGGGAAAGTCCCTAAATTTAAAATTTCTTTGTTCGGCCTGTTACTGGAGAGTCACCTGCTGATCTTGAGAACTAACATGTTGCTAAATTTTCCAGGAAAAATGATAAGCCACCAAGAGTATCAAAAGAAGCTGATATTTGTTTGTAGTGGCCGAATGTTTTGTTACAAATGTTAAACTGATATTTGAGATAAAAATAGGGGTAATTTTGTTATTAAAAAGAAAAAAAAAAGAGTTTTGAGTACGAACACAATACCTTAAAAAATCGTTTAATTAACACGCATATCCTCATAAAGTATCATTATTTTAAGGAAAATTGTTTGATGCGGAGCTGAACCGCATTTGTAAAATATGCGATCCATAAGTATAAAGTATCTATTTTAAAGATGGATGCAAATAGGTGGTCCATCTAAAAACAATTATAACTAACAATCTAATTTTTTTTAATATAATTATTATTTTTAATTTTCATTTTTTTTTTGTTTTCATATTCATGATCTCCATGTTAAATATTATATATTCTCTAAAAATTAAAATCAAATTATATTTAAAAAACATATTTATGCAGGCTGGCTGTATAGAAACCTTGTCCTTATTTTAGATGTCGTCGTTATTACATCTTATCATGTCTTCATTATTTTTGGAACTTGGTAGCACCCTACACCCTCGTCACCATGTTTGGTTTTCATTCCAATGAATAACACTACCCCACTAATGTAAAATTCCGTACGAATATAGATTTTGGTAATAAAATTAATTTAAAAAGTTTTTACGTAATTTTCTCTGGAAATCTAAATGACTTCGTAAATAACGGAAGTTTGAAAGGACATGCGCGTAAAATTTTCGAAGTTGTACTTGAAAGCGGAAAAATGTCTCTCTCTCTCCCATCTCATGTCTTAATTTTCGCTAATTTTTTGCCCAAATATTAACAGAAAAAAATGCGTTCCAATTGATGTAAAATAAAAATTGGATCAAAATTATGTTTCATTACTGCCATTTTATTTTCTTTTTGGTTTCGTGGCGAAATTTTGATTGATGAGAAACAGGGGCTGCTCACTCTCAATTAAAATCAATCTTCATTGAAGATTGCTTAGACATTCATGGGCTATATTTAATCCTGGATTTTGCTGAGAGCGTTTCTTGGTTTGGTTTTTCCTTTGATAAACATGGGTTTTCATATGGTGAAATGCACTAGAATTTGCTCGTACTCTTCTTCTCTTACCTCGAAATTTTTTCATCTTATGAGATTGTGGGATTTCCTTTTCCTGATAATGGTACATTCATATATTTTGTTGGGTTATTGGGTTGATTCTTGTGTCGTCAATGGTGAAACGATGGTCATCTGTTTTGCTTACATTGCCATGAGATTTTCGAGAATTTGGGTTTCTTTTTCTGGTTTGTTTCTGGAGCTATTTCTACCTCTATTTTTCTGTTTGATTAAGCTTTATACATAATTGGCAGCTTTTTTTCATAATTTTCCTTTTGTTCATGCTTTTTTTTGGTGCTTGATTTATAATAGTTTTTCAATTCCAGGCCACGTCTACATAATCACTTGTTAGATTGTTTCAATTTTCATCAACCATGGTCACTATTGTTTCAATTTCAGCAACCTTCTACAACAATGATTACCTACTATAGATATTAATTGCTGATAAATTCAATTGGATAGTACATTCGATGTTTCTGTTATAGGTATTTCATTTTGGATCGATTGGCTAAGCTTGCAACCTTAAGACTTATAGGGCATAGACTGAAACCCCCATTCAGTGCATTTTAATGATGCAACTCATTTATACTAATTTGCAACATTTCGCAGCAACTCAACTTGGAATCGTCAAGTCATGCACAAGCCCCAAAAGAGTTCAAAAATTGCTAAAAGATACAATGATATTGTTAATAGTTATTAAAAATCAGTAATTATGGATCATATGTCTGCATCATTTATTTTATCTGTATGTATGATGGAAAAAAGTATATAGGAAATGGAACATGGAGGAAATTTGATATATAACTTGAAACTATTCAGAAAAATGCAAAAAATAGAAAAGTAGAGCATATAATAAGAAAAAGGGTGTGGTTTGTATAAGCTATCTACTTTTAGCAATCCAAGGCACACATCTAAGGCTCATCGAAAGATGAAATTTTGGTGTCAAAAAATTCAATGATGACCTGAAAATCCATTTAACAAATAATTCTGAAATTTTAAACTCAAAAAATGGTTCAAATCGGGTAGATCTGCAAACGGTTGAAAATCTTGAGAATGGCCGGTCTACCTTATGTATTACAAGATGAATCTATTTTGGGACTGTAAATCTCTCTCTCTCTCTCTCTCTCTCTCTCTCTCTCTCTTTTCCTACATCCATATATCTTGAGGTTGAGATAATCAATTAAGGGGTTTTTCAGTATCTGAACAACCTTTTTCTATGGTATGGATATTTGAAGCTTGCATTTTTTTTACAGTACAAGGTTGCAACTTTTTATAAACTTTTTCCCGAAACTAATTTACACGTCATCATAAAAAGTGTGTAAATTATACATAAACTTATTGATGCTTAGATATTAGTTATTTAGAAAAATTATATAATGTTATTTACTTATTTTTTGTATACATGATTTTGAACACAAAATTTTCCTCTGCACAGTGTTGAGGTCGAGTTACTTGGCCCAGTCCAAGTGGAATTGGTTGCGCTTTAAGACGTTAATTTGCAATGCATAGTACCATTTAATAAATTTTTTGATAATTTAATTATTTTAATAATTTGTGAAGCATTCAATGTAGAATTTTAAGCTGTTAGAAAGGCATCATAAAAATAATGAGGAAAAGGCGAATGAGTATCCAATTCCTTGAGTTTGTTCTTGTACTTACGCTTATGTTGTCAATATCAGTGAAGTTAAAGAACCAGTTCTCTAAATAACCAAAAATTGGTTTGCTCCACATGGGTGGTTGCATTGCTGCCCTAACGTGAAGACAGTGGGTTAACTTATTTTGATTTATTGGAAAAGTGCACTGTTGTTTGAGTTGTGTATTGTGTTTGATAGTGATGGATTGTAAAGTCTACATGTTCTTCAACAGTTGAGATTCTACGAGACCGTATTGCTAACATGTTGTCCTTGGTGAAGTTGTTTCTGATGGCTTATTTTGTTTTTCACTTTTTCGTGATGAATTGGCCGTGTATGATTTTTGGAATGCGTGTTGGGTTTGGCAAATGCATGTTGCATTGTTTTTATTTGTGTGTTTGTCTTTGCCACCAATTAGGATTTCAAAATTCGGCCAAGTGCACCTGGACTCGACCCCTTGCGAGCTATGTTACTGTGTACAAACTTGGGTAAAATAAAAACTTTATTGAAAATCCCAAAAATTATATTTTTCCTGAAAGAAATGTATAAGTATTTTGATGATGATTTGTGTTTTGCCTTTTTCGTGCACAATTTTTATTTTCCTCCTTTTCTTGGATTTCCTGGGTTGCTTACAGCTATAAAATAATTCTTCTAAATCTATCTTTTTCGTTTTCTTGTCCATCTTATTTGGTCTTTTGATGTTGTTTATTGTTTACTTTTTGCTTTTCTTTTTTTAAACTATTTATTATATTTCTTTTTCAAAATTTTGCAACTTTTTTGGTCTTGTACACTACTGGGTCCTGAATCTACTTGGAGTGTTTGATTTGGACCTCATTCGATGTTATTTTGGCATGGTACTGGACCTTGTAGAGGAGCTGATCGTCTTGTCGTTGGAATTCAAGCTTCACTAAGGCATTAGGTTTTGGTTTTATCTTCAAATACAGTTGCATTTTCTCATTGTACTTTTTGTCTTTTGGAAAGTTATTGGGGTGATAAAGCTCTCATTTTGTGCATGACTAAAGGTCATGTGAGATTTTCTTTTTTTCAAAGATGATTAGTTGTTTTTTGTTCAGGTAAGAAAAATTCCAGAGTTATTTCACTCGGTTGAAGATTATCTTGGATCATTTGTATATCCTCTTATTGAGGAAACACGAGCTGAGTTACGGGAGGGCTTTGAGCTTGTACATGAGAAGCCACTTGCTGAACTTTTATCTGTCAAAGGGGTTGTATCCAGTGGTTTTGGATACATCATTGAAGTAGACTCTGGTAAAAATGGCTTGACGGTGGGTGGTAGGGATCGTTATGAACCAATGAATAGTGATATTGTAATTTTATCCACAATTGTTCCTGAAGATGTTGCAGATTTCAATCGCTATGGCACTTTCTATTGTCTTGCTGCACTTCGTGAATGTAAAGGGAGAGTCGGGGATGATGAAGTGGAGGGAATGGTTGATGGATCAGAGGCATTGGAAGAAGAGGAACAAAGAAAGAATGTATTTGTACTAAAAGTGTCAAATTGTGTGGATGATATTCTTTCCTCTGGGAGATCTCTTTATGTTATCTTTCTAATGAGTATCTCTACTAATAGTCGGATATGGCATGCACTGAATGTGAAGTCTGAGGAACCCCGTTATGAAAATATTAAAAAATTTGAGAAGCTGTTGAATGGTGGAAACTTGGTAAGATTTACTTGTCCTTTGTATCTTTTCGTTACAATGACGGTTATGGACTTATTTTCTTTACATTGATTGGTTTTGCTTTTGCAGTGTATGATATGCCTGTTCTTTCTTCTTTATCATTCTGGAATCCAGATTTTCTGTAGCAATTGAAGTTAATCATTTGTTTCCTTCTTCATTGCAGGCCACGTCAACCCATGATACTTGTTATATGGATCGGGTTGAAATTGTGGGCAAAGAATTTCTTGCAGAACTGGAATCCTCCATGCTGAATGATTCCCAAATTGATGCAGTAGTTGGCACTATTTCATCACTGAGAAACAGGCAACCTTATATGATAAAACTTATATGGGGTCCCCCTGGAACTGGAAAAACTAAAACCATTAGTTTTATTTTGAGTGCTCTCACCAAAATGAATTTTAAGGCCCTTACTTGTGCGCCCACCAATGTTGCAGTTTTGGAAGTTGCCTCGCGTTTCCTGAAGTTGGTTAGAGATTGTCATGGGCGAGTCACTGGGGACAGTTTCACTGGTTGCTTTCTTGGTGACATGGTTTTATTTGGAAATAAAACTCGTATGGACATTGTTGGTGAGCTTAATGATATTTTTTTGGATTATCGTGTGGATCGTCTTTTAGAATGTTTTGTCCCACTCACTGGATGGAACTATAGACTAAGGTCCATGATAGACTTTTTTGAGGATTATGCATCTCAATATAAAGACTTTCTGGAAACTGATAAAGGCAAGGAGAATGCTAGCTTTCTCGCATTCTTACGAGAGCGTTTCAATGCGATTAGCTCACATGTGAATAATTGTATCAGCATATTATATTCTCACTTGCCTAAAATATATATGTCAAAAAGTGTGTCGGATAATTTAATTGAGCTTCACAATCTCATTGAATCTTTTGGGAATTTATTATTCAGTCTTGATATTGATGAAGACAAAGTGAAGGTCCTCCTTAAGGTTTCTGAAGAAGAGGGAAATGATAGTTCCGGAGGTGCGGAACTTGTTGAGGATGGTTCATTATCTTTGGACTCTGTTGTAAAAGAACTTCGGGTAATCAGAAGGTCGTGCCTTCGTGTCCTTGGAGTACTTAAAGTTTCTTTGATACTTCCAAGAATGTTCTCTAAATCCTCAATTCAATCGCTTTGTTTGAAGAATGCTTCTCTTGTCTTCTGCACTGTGTCAAGTTCTTCTCTATTGCATTCCTTAAGGATGGAGAGTCCTTTAGATGTACTGATTATAGATGAGGCAGCGCAGTTGAAAGAGTGTGAGTCATCAATACCTCTACAACTTGCTGGTTTAAGGCATGTTATACTCATCGGTGATGAATGCCAGTTGCCTGCCATGGTTCACAGCAAGGTTTGAGTCTGCTACTCCTGATTATCTTTCTACGCTCGCCCAAAGACAATGGATGGGTGCGACAAGAGAATGAATGACATAATTTCCTTTTTTCTATTTTGATTTTTACCTTTTGCCAGGTATCGACAAATGCAGGTTATGGGAGAAGTCTTTTTGCTAGGCTTGGATCACTTGGGCATCCGAAACATCTTTTGAATATACAGTATAGAATGCATCCATCAATAAGCTCTTTCCCCAGTGCAACATTCTATGGAGATCAGATTTTGGATGGTCCTAATGTGATGTGTCGAAGTTATGAAAAACATTATCTTCCCAGAGCCCTCTATGGTTCTTATTCTTTCATAAATATCAGAGATGGAAGGGAAGTATTGGATGATATAAGCAAGAGCTGGAAAAACATGGTGGAGGTTGCTGTTGTCTCACAAATAGTTCAAAAGCTATTGAATGGTATTCATATATTTCTCGTGTTGGTTTGTGATTCTTGAGGGCAAGCTACCTTTTCAGTGGCTTGGTTTAGTTTTCATTATTTTTTGGTGGCCTTTGTTTTTGTTTCTTTTAATTTGGTTTCTAATTTATCTTTTGCATTAGCTCTAAATATAATATACTTTTTTCATTTTCTCTTGAAAGTTTTTCTGCAGAAGCAACCGAGAATTTTATTTTTTGTATGTAAATTTTGCAGCATGCAGTAGTTCTGGCCAGAGGCTAACTGTTGGGGTCATATCACCGTACAATGCTCAGGTTTGCGCAATACAGGAGAAGCTGAAACGATATGAGATGCATGACGGTTTTGCCTTGAGGGTCAAGTCTGTTGATGGATTTCAGGGCAGTGAGGATGATGTAATAATAATTTCAACTGTCAGATGTAATGGCAGTGGAGACATTGGTTTCGTATCTAGTCGATTTCGGACTAATGTGGCTTTGACACGAGCAAGGTACCTTTTACTGACTTGCTTCTCTCTGGCATCTTGTGTGACTTTGTCATTTGCTTCATTTGTTCTTTTCCTTTATTTGATATTGCATTTGATTCACTATTTTGAAAAGTTTAGCCATTGTGACAAATTGGCTTCATTTCTCTTTTTAGATCTTTTGGTTTTGCGTGACATATGTGGATACATTGTTTAACTTATTGTGCAACTGCGGCGCTGTGAGTTGGCTCAAGACAATGGGTCTGGTTCTCAGAGATGTGTTATTATGAGGATTCTTCATACACATGTCAAGACATGAGCTGCTTGACATTTCTAGACTTCTAGCATTTTGGATGTGTCCACTCATCCTAAGTCAATTGCCAACACTTATCTATTATCAATCAGCAGCAAAAAGAAATGGAGATTTCTTATTAAAATCTTTGAAATAGGATTCATTCCAGTTCAACCTGTTCATTGACAGTTTTTGGAATGAAAACAACCTAGTCATGCATCATCTTTCTTGATGATAAATGAATCAAACAAATCGACTTTGATAAGAATCTTTCTATGTGGTACACGAGATAGGCAAGCTTAAATTTCAAAAAAAGCAATTAATCCACTGTGTGTTCTAAAGTTAAATTGCTTCCACGCATGTGTAATGATGGTAACATTTAATGGGTCAAAATAAGTGTCTTGGGGGTCCATTTTTGTCAACAATAGGAAAATTGTTTCATGCCAGCTGGACCGTATTTCTACAATATGCGGTCCAGAGGTATAAAGCATCCATCTTAAAGATGGATGCAAATAGGTGATCCATCTAAAAACAAGTATAACTAACAGTCCAAATGTTTTCTTAATATAATTGTTATTTCTAGTTTTCAATTATTATTTTTTTCATATTCATGATCTCCTTGTTAAAGATTATATATTCTCTAAAAATTTGGATCAAATTATATTTAGAAAATATGTTTATTGCCAAGCCTGCATTTCTATAATATGCGTGCTGGCCACATCGAAACCGTGTCCTCAACTATATGGTTGAAACAATGCCGTGCACATTGAAAGCATATTTAAACCTTACCAAAACCTTTGTTCTTGAAATGCAAATGAAATGTTTAATCATCAAAAGGATCTTCCATTTCCTGAGGAATGCAACAAAAGGCACGTGTGCCCTATGAAAGTTATTCAGGTGGAGTACCCTCCCATTCTCGTGTGTTGCATGCAATAGCAAATGAGGGGTAAATTACATAAATACTAATGTAAATGGCCCAACATGATCATAAATAAGGGGGAAACATAATCTCCGTTCTATTTGTTTTCCATTATCATAATATTCTTCTACATGTAGTACTTAGAAGTAGATTGTATGATATGATGTTCACCCCTTTACATGGCTAGTCATATGCCCTTCCCCCATTTGTTATTCCTTCCATTTTGTTTCCCTTGTTTTTTATTTATAACCAATGTTTTAAAAATCGGTGATCTGGATTAGAACTGGCTGATCCAGATCGAGTCAGTCAGGTCGATTCTGATCCCGCTAAATATTGGGGGTTCCCCCCTTGAACCAACTGGATCTGTCTGGTTTTCCAACAGAACTGGCTGGTTTTGTTAGGGAAACAGCCAATTCTGTTAGGATTCGGGTGACCAAGTTTGCACTTTATTTTTAAGAAAAAAACAAGTGACCGAGTTTGCACTTTATTTTAAAAAGTTGTCATTTGAAATTCTTGTTTTGTAACTTAATGAATTGTGGTGTGCCCACCCTTCATTTAAGAACCTTATTTTTTGTGCTATTTACAAACCTTTTTTTTTTAGCAGACGGGCCAACCTTTTTACTTGCGTGCACCTTACGAACACACACGGCTTGCTTACACATCAGTACATTTTATAGAGCTCACTCCCAGCTGTTCTGTGGAATCCCCAATGTGGAATATATCCTTGCCTAAGTAAAAATTGATGTTCCCTTTAAACACCACACCCCCCCCCGCCCCCTTCCCCCCCCACACGAATATACTGAGTGAAGTGTTTATTGTGAAAAAAGAAAAGAGATAAGAGACTACAGACCAATGTCAAATTCACTTCACTTCAGGCCGCTTCACCCCACTTAGATGTGATTCGGCCAAAAAGAAAAAGACTTTGAAGCGAATCTGACAACACTACTATAGACTTTATCGCGAAAAGAAGAGAGAGATACATGGAGCTTTTGAAGTTTATTAGTTTTTCTTTTTCGATGAGAGAGAGTTTGAAGTTTATAAGTGGTAAGATATTGAGTAGGCATTCTCTCTCTCTCTCTTAGAAATTGAGAAGGCATTTTCTCTTTCTCTCAATTCCATGTGAGTTTATGGAAGTGTAGGGGACTTTTCTCTCTCCCTCTATTTTGAATATTGGATTGGGTTTTCTTTTCACTCTCTCTTGGATTTTTTTTCATATTCTCTCTCCCCCTTGGATTGGGTTTACAATTTTCACACTCTATCTCTTGAATTGGGTCTTACATATCTTTCTCTCTCTCTTTTGAATATTGGATTTTTTTTTATATTTATTTTCACTATGCTGTATTTGGTTGCTCTCTCTCCCTCATGCATAGATCAAGGTACACTCATTGCACTTCGTTGTATATCTATATCAACAAATGATCTGCCTTAGCGCTTGTGTTATTGAAAGACAAAGTAACATCAGCTCCTCTCAAATGTCCATGGTTTACTTGATATCATTCGCAAAATATTAGCATATTTTCTCATAAATTCGTGTTCAAGCCCACAATTCAACTACCTATAGTACAAATTTTTTTGTAATAGTATTATATCAAAATTAGTATAAAAGATTAGTATTGAAACGAATATCAATAGACACTCAGACAAGATATAGTCTTTCAATCACGTATTTTTGTAAAATAATGAAAGTCCATAATGCATCACCCTTATTTTCTTTTGGAAACCCAAAAAATAATATTATGACATTTTTTTTAAAAAAATTTATAGCCGGGTAGGGCCAATCCAGCCAATTTTGCGTTCCGGATCGTCGATTCGCCAATCCGACCGTTTTTCGGATAGACGATCTAGTTCACCCTTCCATTTTTTTAAACCTTGTTTGTAACATTATTGTTTTGTATTCATTAAACATTACATATTTCCTTTGTTCCTTTTGGGATTGTATACAATGAGACCATTTACCTTTGGTACAAGGCGGTCACAATTATTTACAACTATCCGACGTAAAATCTGATAGCTTGGTTGTGTAACAAAGTTCGAGGAAATTTCTTTTGAACTTTGAGTTTGGTTAATGGAATAACTGCAGCCACTAACTTCAAATCTAATGGTCAAGATTAATTGTGACCACCTTGTACCAAACGCAAATGGTCTCATTGTATACTTTTTCGTTCCTTTTCTACCTTCTAATTTATTCTGTATTTCTGTGTGTGTGTGTGGGTGGAGCATGCATGGAGCTTGATTGTGTTTTCTCATAATCTTTGTAAATGTACTCACATGCATGCAATTGCGTATACTTGTTGCATTGCTTTTCTAGTTCGCATAAGTTTTTCACTATGGTGATTGGGTTAAGTCTGATACATAGTGAGCAAAGATGTGGTCTGCCTGATGTGGGTGTTTGGATTGTGTTTATGCTACATTTCTTAGGGCAATTAGCTGTGTTTCTTAAGGTTTTATAAATTAGTAGTTGTTACTTTTAACTTCTTTTCCTGCATGATCCTATGTTTCGTCTCTTATTAGTTTTAATTGCAGGCACTGCCTATGGATAATGGGTAATGCGGGGACATTGATTCAAAGTGGTTCAGTATGGGAGGAACTTATATGCAATGCAAAAGATCGTGGGTGTTACTTTGATGCTCTTGAGGATAAAGGTTTAGCGGATGCAATATTACGTGTGAAAAGTGAACTTGAAGAGTTAGATGACTTGCTTAATAAGGATTCGTCAAATTTTGCTAATGCAAGGTGGCAGGTAGGCTCTCACTTCTATTGGACTTGTTATTTGTGGGAGTTGTAGGTCCACATAAGGCTTGAATAAATTGCAAATTCTATATCTATGTTTCTGGATAATCTGGCTATCATTGATATCTCTGTAGTATCTGTGGGTTTCCTTCTCTAATTGGTTTCTGTTATTTCGATTTTTGTTTTGTTGTTTTTATTTTGTTTTTTATATATGTAATGTGCTTCTTGTCACATGCTCTTATAGCAAGAAGCCATCATATGAAATGTGAATGAAATATTATTTAATTTCTGTTACTTTTGGGTTTGAGTTTTGTGATTTGGGATTAATTTTAGCATTAGGCTGTGTTTTTTCTCTTGCATTTAAAAATGGGGGACTTGTTTGCTTGTGGTGACAGTCATTTTGTATTGACCTTAAGTAATGAGATGTGGTTGACTTCATTGATACTCTAGAAGGTAGCACCAAGGTTTAACCATTCAACACTGGAATGGTCGAACAGGCTTAAGCATATAGTGAAATCCTGATTCTATATTTCATATTTGTACTTGGTTCTAATTAATTGGAACCTCCCCATTTTCAAGGGGACCTTCTGTTTCATAGTCTTTCTTTCTTTGTGCTTATATTGTAGTAAAAGAGATAAGTTGCATGTTTTCATGGGTTATGTTTGGTATTTTTTGTTGTAATTGGTGATATTTGGGTTTCTCTTTGTGGTCCAGTTCACATTTAAGTGGTTTCGTACTCTCCATAGGTGTTGTTTGCTGATGATTTTAAGAAATCCTTTGCAAAACTAAGGACAACCCACAAGAAGCAGATGGTTCTGCGTCTGTTGTTGAGGCTGGCTAATGGTTGGCGTCCAAAAAGGAATTTGTACTTTGTAGAAGGTGTTTCTTCAGGCCTTATCAAACAATCCAAGGTTGAAGGGCTGATTCTGATATGGACAGTTGATATTGTGAGGAACACACGATGTGAACAAGTGTTGAAGGTCTGGGATATTCTTCCATTTGTTGAGGTTTCCAAACTTCTTAGGCGCCTTGACAACTTCTTTTCGCTTCATACTGAAGTTTATCTACAGCGCTGCAAAGAAAAGCTACTTGAAGGGTATTCACTATCCAGCTTGGTCTTTCATCCTTTGTTGCTATTATGTGCTTTTCATTCGTCTGTATTTTTATATATTTTTGTCGATCATGTGAAATCGTTTTATAGTTTGATAAACCTTGTTTTCCCAATTTCTCACCTTGCATCATTGAGAGCGGCTCGATCTCATGTGCTTCCCTTTCAAGTTTTCTAGATCTTTACTTATTGTACTCTGCTTGATCATCCACATAAGTATGTATCTGATATCTTGATGTATGACCTTAGTGTTAATCACCTCATTTTTATGTAGTTTTTTCGTGCACACCTTCATCTAGTATATGCTTTGCCAATTTATGGGTTTTATGCCATGTAACAAGTTTGATAGTCTTTGTCCTTGTGTTTTAGTTGGACTCAGAGAGAGCCTTTGAGCAGCTTTTTTGCCAAAAGACATAAAATAAAGGTTCATGTGTGAATCATTATGTTGATTTTAAGAATGTAGTTTTAGTAAACCCTAAACCTTGTATATCATGTTATAGGTTTAAATCCTTATATTCTTTGGTGGTATATCATTTACCAAAATGGTTTATGGAGCTAGAGTGTTCTTACCTCGATATTCAACCTTGCTAGTGCGAGATACAATGATGTATCTGTACTTGCCACCTTCTTTTGTCTCTTTGCTTCACTGCCGGTTTAAGCCAAAGTACTGCTTAGATGCCCTGCCTTGTGTCCAAGTATTATTTGTTGCAGCATTACATTATTGTATGAGTTTTGCTGTTAAATCTAATGCATACTTGTTAAAGTAGGATATCTGAAGGGTTTGGTAAGAGTTGACTCGTGGCAACTTTTCTTTTTGGTATTTCACTATAAGGTGTTATTTCCTCCAGTCAAGAGCTCAAAAAGGGCAAGGGATAGGCCCAAAAGGACATGCTTGGAAGTAGTGAGAAAAGATACAGGGAGTTATAGCCTCACTTATGGTATGGCCTTTAAAAGAGCAGAATGGCGGACCAGGATTCATGTAGCAGACCCCAATTAGATGGGAAAAGGCTTTGACGATGATGATGATGATGTGCTATTTCCTGATGTCACCTTTCAAGATTTCTTCATTTATATTTGGCTTCTGCCCTTTTTATTCTGATATATTTATCCCTTTGGAATTCTTGACATAGAATCCTGAGGTTTTATTTCCTTAATTTCTTCCAAAAGACATGAACTTACTTGTTTCATGCTTCTGACTTATACTTTATGTGTTAGGAATCTTGAAGTTCCAAAGAGCTGGGCTACAGATTTTGAGATTGTGCAGTATAAAAATTTATGCAAATCTGATCATGGGGAACCAGTGGAAGAGGGTAGGTTGGAGACTGGCGAATGTATGGAGAGCTCTAAAGTAAGTGAAAGTTTAGTGTTGATGAAGTTCTACTCCTTATCTTCTGGGGTGGTAAATCAATTGCTAACTGCTACTGATGGAAGAGAAGTCGATCTCCCATTTGAACTTACTTATCAGGAAAGGGAAATAATTTTGTTTCCTGAAAGTGCTTTCATTCTTGGGAGATCAGGGACTGGCAAGACAACTGTGCTGACTATGAGGCTTATACGAAAGGAACAGCAGTATTATGTGGCTTCAGAAGGATTAGATGTGGATGGTTCATCATCTGAGGTAACTTATAGCATGTATGAGCAAATGGAAACAAGTCTAGTGTCTAAGAGGAATTTCTTAAGACAGATTTTTGTCACTGTCAGTCCTAAACTCTGTGCAGCTGTCAAGAGCCACATACATCGGCTCAAGAGGTTGGTTCTTCTTTTATGCTATTTATTCTTAGCTTCTTAGATTCAATGTTGTCAGGCTTGTTCATTATTGGGTAATCTTCTCTGGTTTCCAGCATTTTTGACACCTGTTTATTGTATTAATGCTAGGAATTCATCTTCTTTATTATCACACCCATAGTATACCTTGTCTTGTTTCTGTTTTGCTGATGGAGGTTTGGATATGGCAGTTGGCAGTTATGAAACAATTGGGATTTGCAGATGGTCGTACTTTCTCTATGGCTATTTTTTTTTTTAACAAGTTAAGAAGGTTTGCTTTTGGAAGATAAATCTATAGGGAAAATTGCTCGATGCCTTGTTATGATGTGTATCTATGTCCTCGTGCCTGCATTTACTTGTGCACTGAGTTCTTTTTCTTTTTGGAAAGTGTTTCGTACATGTAAATGCACACTTATGATTTAAGTTTGTTTACGATTTTCAGGTGTATATTTTTGCTTGATTTTTCAATTGATTTTGAATTGTAGCACCTTCTGGGTTTGATGAACTGTTTATTTTAGATGCTCTAATTTCGCCCATATTTTCTGTCAGCTTTGATGGTTTATTGATGCTTTTCACTTATTATTCATTCTTTTCCCAGGCACACTTCTGGGAGTGACTTTTCTGTCAGTTTGGATTCAATTGAAATGCATGATGCTAGTGACAATTTGACTGAGTTCAGGGATATACCTGACAATTTGGATGCTATCACTGAAAGGCACTTTCCTCTTATTATTACCTTCCGTAAGCTCCTACTTATGTTAGACCAGAGTATGATGCCTTCATTCTTTTATCGCTTCCATGATTTAAGGGAGCTTCCTCTTGGTGGGAGTAGAATTTCACAATCCATCGCTCTTCAAAGGTTCATTGCGAGAAATGAGGTTGATTATGAGCATTTTGTTAATTTCTATTGGCCACATTTTAACGGCCAGTTCATCAGGAATTTGGACCCATCAACCGTATTTACTCAAATAATTTCTCATATAAAAGGTGGATTTGAGGTGGGTTCTATTCCAGATAAGCTGGGTCGGGAGGTTTATGTTGGCTTGTCTGAAGGTCGAGTTTCCACTTTGAGTAAGGAAAAGAGAGAGAGAGTGTATGATATTTTCCTGGATTATGAGAGGAAAAAGCTGGCAAATGGGCACTTTGACATGTCGGATCTGGTGATTGACATACACTGCAGATTAAGGGAAGGTGGCTATAAGGGTGAAAATTTTGACTTTGTTTATATTGATGAAGTTCAAGACCTGACAATGAGACAAATCGCTCTTTTTAAGCATGTATGCAGTAATGTTCAGGAAGGATATGTATTTTCCGGGGACACTGCACAAACAATTGCAAGGGGAATTGATTTCAGGTTCGAAGATATTAGATCGCTATTCTACAAGGAGTTTCTCAATGAGTCGAGAGAAGGATGTTTAGGAAGTGCACGAGGAAAAGAAACAAAAATATCTGATTTGTTTCACTTGAATCAAAATTTTCGTACACATGCTGGTGTGCTGATGTTGGCAGAAAGCGTTCTTGATTTGCTCTACTCTTTTTTTCCTCAATCCATTGATGTTTTGGATCCTGAGATGAGCCTCATATATGGTGAGTCACCTGTCTTACTTGAGTCTGAAAATGATGAAAACGCCATTATGACAATTTTTGGCAATAGTGGAACTATTGGTGAGGGTTCACATGAATTTGGAGCAGAACAAGTTATTTTGGTCCGTGATGATTCTGCAAAGAAGCAAATTTTTGATTATGTTGGAATGCAAGCTCTCGTGTTGACAATTATTGAATGCAAGGGCTTGGAGTTTCAGGTATGGCAGTGCATATGTTCTACAAAATTGTTAATATTGCCTTATCTCATGTTGATGCTTTATTTGATTTGTTATTCACTGCCTTTTTATTGGATTGGGCAGGATGTTTTGTTGTATGACTTTTTTGGTGCATCTCCTCTGAGAAACCAATGGAGGGTTATCTATGAATATATGGCAAACCTGGAGTGGCGGCACTCGGAAGTACCTAAATCCTTTCCCCATTTTGATGAAGGGCGACACAATATTCTCTGCTCTGAACTAAAGCAGTTGTATGTTGCTATAACTCGTACAAAGCAAAGATTGTGGATCTGTGAGAATAGTGGAGATTTTTGTAAGCCAATGTTTGATTATTGGAAGAGTTTGGGTCTTGTTCAAGTTAGACTTTTGGATAGTTCGCTGGCTGAGGGGATGCGGGTTGCTAGTAGCCCAGAGGAATGGAGGAGACGTGCCATCAAGGTTTGTTTTGGTTCACCCTTCTCTCTCAGATCTATACTACTGTGTTCTGTAATTTATTAATTGCACATGGACCAGCTGGGTACCGCTGTGTACTTCATTTCAGTCTTGTTCCACAGAAAGTGGCCAAAAGGTTGGGGTTGCTAAGTACTTGACACACCTGGAAATCACCGGCGTAAGTAGTAGCTTCACCTTTACTCCTTGGACAGGAGTAGAATATTATGGGAAACAACTGAAGAATAATTTAGCAATAAAAACAAAGAAAAAAAAATTGAAGTACATTTGGTTACTTTTCTTTGGGTATTCTGGTGAACTTAGCTGCCTTCATTTTTGGCCATTTCTCGGTGCACCAGTGATAATGAAATAATTTATGTCTGGCTACATGTTAGATTTCCTTAGAGCTTACAGAGCTGGTTTGATACCTACAGTTGTTCAATGATGACAACTATGAAATGGCCACAATGTGTTTTGAAAGGGCCGGAGATGTACAAGGTGAAAAGTGGGCCCGAGCAGCAGGACTTCAAGCGACGGCAGATCGTATTCTTTTGTCAGATCCTCAAATGGCTCGTATCGCTATGGTTGAGGCAGCGAATATATATGAAACTATCAACAAGGTCGAACTTGCTGCAAATTGTTATATCAAATTAGAGGAGTTCCAAAAAGCTGGTTAGCACTCTTTTCTTCTTTTTCAGATTTATTAAAACTCCTTAAAATATATATTTATAGGAACACTGTGATCATTTTGAGTCAATTCTTGAAATTTGTTATATTATGATAGCTGCCTTATTTGCGTAGGATTAGCATGTCTTCAGGTGGTTGTTATTTTTTGTATGTTTATGGAATCTCATGGTTTAATTTCTATTGATTAGGGAGGGGTTGCTGACATCATGCCATGACAATGCTATCGCTTTGCCTTGTCTGTAATGTTTCATACAAATACATTCTTTCTTTTGTATCTTACTTTGCTTTCATTTTTATTGTTCTTTCAATAGGCAATATTCTTTTGGAGAAATGTGGTATGTTAAGGCTTGAGGATGCTGGGGATTGTTTTTCAATGGCGCACTGTTGGTCTGAAGCTGCTGATGTATACTTTAAAGCCGGTGTTCTCTCCAAATGCTTGAATTCTTGTACAAAAGGCGAAATTTTCGAAATGGGATTGCACTACATTCTACATTGGGAGGATAGTTCTCCTGATTCTCAAGTTGCAAGGCATGAAGAAGTTTCTGAGGTTAAAAACAAGTACTTGGAAAACAGTGCTGATTACTATTTTTGTGCCGGGGATATCAAGCGCATGATGAGATTTATTAAAGTTTTTGCTTCTATGGGTATGGTTCGTTCATTCTTGAAGTCGCGGAAGTGTCTTGATGAACTACTGCAGGTGGAGATGGAAGCAGGGAACTTTGTTGAGGCTGCTGATGTTGCAAGAACGAAAGGAGACCTGCTACTTATGGCTGATATGCTAGAAAAAGCAGGGCAACCTGGAAACTCATCAAGATTGCTTATGTTATTTGTTGTTGTCAATTCTCTTTGGACACCTGACAGTAAGGGTTGGCCATTGAAGCAATTTGAGGGGAGGGACCAGCTATTGGAAAAGGCCAAAGGCTTATCATTGGGAGAATCTAGTGTTGTCTATGAGTCTGTTTCGGCTGAAGTGAGCTTTTTATCCAAGCAAAATGCCAGTCTGTCATTTATGGTGGAGCACTTAAATGTTGCTCAGAATTTGCAAAATATTAGGCTGGAATTGTTTGCTTGTCACTCAATTATCGACTTTCATCTTTTACTGGACCCCTCAAAGTTTCACTGGGAGTCTGCTCCATACTTAGATCCACCAAAGGATGTTGATGGAATCACGAGTCAGAACAAGGTTTCTGTTGTGACATTGATGTACTATTGGAATTTGTGGAAGCAAAGGATTTTGAGCATCTTGTCTTATCTTGCTTCATATGATGATTTTGTTGGGTTAGATTACCATAACCATGGGAAGTTTTGTTTGGAATACTTTGGTGTTCTCGCTGGAAAAGATTGGAGTCGCTATGCTGTAATTAACAGTTTTTCCTCTTGGATGGGTGAAAAAGTGAGGGGTTCTCTTTCCAAGCAGGGGGACCTCCTTTACATAAGTGCTAAACATTTTGTGTTGCAGTGTCGAAAGTTCTGGGAATCAGAATTGCTATCCGTTGGTATAAAATTGCTTGAAAAACTAGAAGCTCTTCGTACATGTTTCATCTATAGATCCTTGTCTCAATTCAGCCAAGGTGTAATTGCCCTCAATACCTTCGAAGTTTCAAACTTTCTTAATGATCCACAATATCATCGGGTAGGATATATTGATTCAAAGCTAAAGGGATACTTGAGATTGTCTAAAGAGTGGTTTTTGGATATTTGCTTTCCTTTAGACTGGAGAAATGCCATGGAGGAGAGTCTGGTATATCTTCGTGAGCATGCTATTTCAGGGAAGATTGTTAGGGAAATTCATTTTGAAATGATCAATCCTGGAAGAGAAAAGTTGTCATATGGCCAAATTGGGCAGATGGTACTGCTACTTTTTGTTTCACAAAAACATACTGATGAATTATATAAGAGCATGGTGAAGTCTCTGGATCATTTTCCCCAGTGGCAATCTTTTATTGAACAATGGATGGATTGCAGGGAGATGGGGTGGGAAGAACTGGCCGTTCTGGTCCCCAGGTTTGGTGATGCAGTCAAGAGCGTATATGAAATCAACTGGAGGAATGTGCGTGATTATGTGTCACCTCGCTATTACATACTCCTTGTTGAGCGCCTCTTGTTCCTGCTTTGCTCTTGTCAAAGGTGGAAAGGTTGTTTTTTTACCACAAAATCTTGTCTAGTTGAAATGGTTGCATGCCAGGATTGGGAAGCCCAGTCTAGAGCTTCTTATGCTCCTCAGGAACCCAATCAGTATTTCTGTGTTGGGTATCTTGATCGTATTTATGATTTTATATCTTACATTATTCGTGGTCTTCTTTTCAATATCCGCGATACAACGGACTGGGTTAATAGTTCAAATTTGAAGCACTCTTCCTACTTGCCATCAATGGTGTTGCGTTTAGTCATTATCTTGGGTTTGGTTTGTCTGAACTCCGGAAGGAATTATGAATTCGTTTCAGATCTATCGAAGATATGGGATATATTATCATTTTTGCCTCCCGGTTTCCATCAGTGGATTCGTAGTGTCTATGTGCATCATGCAAAGGCCAGTGGCTTGTTTCTTAGAGGCTTTGCTGAAGCCTTACAAGCAATTGGCAATCCATTGGTCGTGATGCTTAGAGATAGTTCCGAATTTTCTTGTCCAAGCTCAATAATCCTTGCCCAAGATGAAATGTTATGCAAAGAGACTGTTCTCAAAGCATTGTTTCCAAAAATTACCGAAGGTTCTCAGTGCAAAGATCAGTCAGTAGATTCAAATGCTGCAGTCTCTTCTGAAATTCCTCCTTTTACAACCGGTATCCAAATCAAGGGGCAGTTCATGGATGTGGCAGGGGAACAACATCCCTCTGCTAGTGGAGATTATGTCGTTGATTTTAAGATAAAATTTGGTCAGTTTTGGGAAAAACTACTCGTAGTCAATTCCCTGGAGCAGGGGTGGGATGTTAACACTGGAAGTTTGATTTCTGATGCCAAGCGTATTAAGGTATCAATATTAGCCTTTTTTATATTTTATTGTAATGCCATGAAAGGATGTTAATTTCTCTTCTTAAGTAATGCTGGTTCCTATTTTTTATCAGATGGATATGGAGAACTACTTGCAGGTGGTTAATTGTGCAACAGTGAAATCTGGTGCGGTTCAGCAAAAGTTTCGAGTGTTGGATGTTTCTCTGCTGGGGGAATTGAAAGGCATGGTTGGGGAATTGGACCTGCTGTCTGAAACCTTGGATTTAAGGTTTAGTATTCTCCCAACTTTCCACATTGATTACATTCTTGGCTAATTAATACAATATATAGTATTTGTTTCGGTTTGGATTTTTCTGTGTGATGATTATTGGTTGCTCTTGATCTGTTTGGTATTCAAGTGTCATGGTTGCAATTCTTGTTTAAGTGGATGGCCTTGGCATTTTGCTATACCATTTAGTAAGGATCATCACTAGCAATAAGCACAGGGGCATATATTGGTGAGCAAATAAGTTGGTATTAATTTGGATTTTGTCCAAAAACTGGTAGCCAAAAGAAACAGTCAATAAAAATGGAGATCCTCAAAGTTTTGCGTGTAAGAATGTGATTAGCTTAGATTTGATTGAAATAAGTGATGTAAAAGTACGGTATGTGTGTCTGTATGTATTTATGGTTGGGAAGGGCAGCTAATAATATTAACCTTCCGTGAAAAAAAAATTGAAGTATGTGATATATCGTTTTCTAAAAAATAAATAAAAAGTCATTATTTTGGAAATATGTCTCTTCGAATGTTCACTAAAAATTCAGAGCTTTCTGCGGGAAAAAAAAAAGGAAAATTGTTTGGTGCGTCCAAACCTGCACATGTTACTATGCCGGCCCGGAGATCTACACCGTCGACCAAAACCGGGTCCTGTAAATAATAGTCCTTCAAAGAAAAGGTAAAATCAACGGTTCAAATATTTTCTACAAAAATTGTCATTTCTAATTTTTAAAATGTATTTATTTTTACAGGTTTATAATCTCCATGTCAAATATTATATATTCCCTAAAAATTAGGATCAAATTCTATTTAAAAAGAAATTAGTAAGGGGCCTGTATTTTTACATGTAAGTACGTGGACTCAGAAACCGGGTCCAAAAAAAAAAAAAGGTTTTGGATGGATTTTTGCTGACTGTGGTACTGATATTCTATAACATTGTATAACAAGAGTCTCATGGATATGGAGCACTTGCCTTGATATCTTGAATATAAGATCACTACATTATCCCGAGGAATTTTAATCATCCAACATATGCAAATGCAATGTTATCTTTTGGCTTAAATTGCTTGAGAGGTAGGATGGGATTTATCATGGAATAATTGTGAAATTTGCGACAGTAATTCATTGACTAACCACATAGAAATGCATTGCTATATTATTTATTTGATCACCAACAAAACCTGATACTTCACATACTATCATATCTGTTAAGTTTTTTAAGTCCAGAGATGATAGTGTAAAATTGCAGTCCTTCATTATTAAACTTCAAACAGAAATAATTCTCATTTTTATTGGTATCCGTATGACACAATTCTTCCCTAAATGGGCCATAGACTCTCTTCTTTTTCTTGGTTTTTTTTGTAATCATTGGAGTCTTTATATGGTGATATTCGATTTGGGTGTAATACGATTGATTTTATGCACTAATGAAGCTGAAATTTTTATTCTGTGATAGTAAGAAAGAGCTTCAAGGGAATGACAGGTTGATTCAAGGATTGTGTGACAAGTTGCTGCATAGGAGACCTTTGCTTGAGCCCCTCATGGAGTCAATGACTTCAGTGGAAGAGCCAAGTACCCCAATCACAACTACTGAAAGTAGTGTCGCATCTGAAGCCAAAAATGGAGGAAACAAAGGGAAGGACACGAAGAAAAACCAAAAACCGAAAGGAAAGAACAAGACTACCGAAACTAGTGTCGCATCTGAAGCCAAAAATGGAGGGAACAAAGGGAACAAAGGGAAGGACAAGAAGAAAAACCAAAAACCCAAAGGAAAGAACAAGAAGAAAATGTAGTAATCTTTTTTGTATAGTCTTTTTATAGTTTGTAAATATTGTGCTATAATACGGTTGTTTGGACGAATATTTGATGTTTTCTAGTGCAAGATTTTTAATTGTTTATAGATTTATTCGATTTGTACCTGTTTTGAAATTTTGAATTTCATAACTAAGGTTGAACTTGGATTTTCAAACCTTTGTAAGGTTTTTTGATATTGGAATTACATCTTTTGGTAAAATTTTGAGATATGGCTTATTTGCATAGTATAAGGTGGGCACCTCATACAAACTACCCCATATTAAAAAAGATTTTCCCTCTATTTATTTATATTTTGGTATTTTATACAATGAGACCAATTATCTTTCATATAGGGAGGTCGCAATTACTTACTACTATCCGATGTGAAATATGATAGTTTAGATGGTACATAGTTCGTCAAAAATTATTTTGAACCTTGAGCTTGATCAATGAAATAAATGCAACCATCCAATTTTACATCCAGTGGTCAAGATTAATTGTGATCACATTGTACAAAGGTAAATGGTCTTATTATATATTTTTCTTTATATTTTATGTCCAATTTTTTAATTTATTTGTTAATCTCATATAGTTCCATTAAGGAATTTCAAGCTCGAGACTGAAATATCTTTTAAGGCTTGGGTGGGCCCGGTTCATTGTTAGCCCTACCATTGGCAGGAGTAGAATTCAAGATATTATATTGTAACACTCTTCCTCCTTCACCACCTAGCCTTGAGCTCATTCCCAGATCCAGATGTCACTTAAAACGTATTTGTGCTAGGTTTGGATATTGAAGTTTTCAAACTCAACACACTGTGAACGTTTTGGTGATACGTACCAATCAGTATTATATTTACTTAAAGGAGTATATTATGCTCCTAGAGGAATATAATGCCTATCTACTGCCTCAGGCTGGGTGTATTTTTTTAATCCGAGCCACCAAAGAATCGTTAGAAAATTTTAATATTAATTTTTTTTTATACTTAGATCTTACCCCCAAAAACTGGGATGGTATCTGAGTTCAATCTTGTGCCAGTATTTTTTTCAAGTGCACAGATAGTACAACTTGAATTTCTTTTCGTTTTTTTTATTTTTTTTTATTTTTTTTATTTTTTTTTTGGAGATTAATATATGAATGTTGAAAAGGTTATATCCTCAAATTTTAGGATCTTAAATTATTCCTAAATTGGGTTTCATCCGGTGGAGTACATGCATGGCCGTACACCATGCGTGTATTCCCCCTAACAATAGACTTATTAGGGACATTTTTTCAATCTCAAATTTGGAACCACCTAATAATATTATTTTCAAAAGGAAAATTTTGGTTTTTGAGATCTCTAACGCTTAGATCTCATCTTAGAATGATTGGACGGTATCTCGTCAATCTTGGGATATTATTCTTTTCCAAGCTTATAGAGAGAGTGCAATTTGAATATGAAAAAAAGAAAAGAAAAAGACAAAGATTTTGAGTCCTTGAAATTGTGCATCTTGTATCACATTATTTAGACAATACATTTTCAAGATTTTCATATGTTTATAGATCTACTTAATTGTAACTGTTTTTTGTGTTTAAAATGTTATAATTAGATATGAAAATAGATTTTTAAATAATCCAAAAAACTATTTACACCAAAATTATATGTTATGATAAAATTTAGAGGTGCGTGGATTGTTAATGTTACAACCTTAAACAATCCAATTAAGGCGCACCTCTAAATTTTATCATAATATATAGATTTGGAATAGAAAATCTTAGAATTATGTGAAAATCTATTTTCATATCTAATTATAACATTTTAAACACCAAATATAGTTAAAATCAAGAAGATCTATACACATATGAAAATCTTGAAAATGGACGGTCTAGATAATATGTTGCAAGATGCACTATTTCTGGGACTCAAAATATTTTTATTTTCATTTTTATTTCTATTTCATATTCATAAATGTAGATGTCGAGATATCCATTGAAAGGGTTTTCAACATTAACACAAACATTTTCTTTAATTCTATATTTTAAAGTTGCAACTTTATATATTTGTAATTTTTGGATCAGGTCCGGATCTGAGTCCACTCGGGTCCAAATCAGATAACTTCAGATCCGGTCAGGTCCGGGTCCTATAAACTTTTCTGGGTCTAGATCCGCGTCTGGGTAGTGGCCGGTTGCCACCCCTATGACAGGGGGGTTAAAAGCGTCAAAACTGTCTCACGTAAAACCCCAAGGCCTCGAACTCCATTTGCTCGTAGAGTCCCCTTCTCTCTCTCTCTCTCTCTCCACCTCGAATCCTAAACCTCTGCTATCTCCTAATAGTGTAAAACGCTTCTCTCTCTCTCTCAACCTAAGTTCTCTCATTCTCGCACCAAATTACTGGTGACTGTTTTGGTCCCCTCCATCTTGGTTAGTGAGGCCCTGAGTGAGAGAAAGAGAATAAATTCTAGAGTGAGAGAGAGAGACAGATTTTAGAGAGAGAAAAAGAGATGAACAAGGACAAGATATTCAAGTTGGCCAAGGGTTTCCGAGGACGGGCCAAGAATTGCATTCGAATTGCGAGGGAACGTGTTGAGAAGGCACTGCAATATTCTTACAGAGACCGACGAAACAAGAAGAGGGATATGAGGTCTCTCTGGATTGAAAGAATCAATGCAGGAACTCGCTTACATGGTGTATGTTCTCTCTATGTCTTTCCATTCTTTTATAAATTTGTTTTCCTTTATTTATTTTCTTGCAATTTATGTTTATTTTGATGCATTTTACGTTTTTGGGTGCCTTCTCTTTCTTGGAAGATTGCAGAAATTTTTTGGGTTCAATGAAATGATTCGTGTGGTCACTTTGTGAATCCTTGAAATCGGGATTTAGGGTTTTAAGTTGCTATTTCATTTATGATTGTTTCGTTACTTAGTTGTGAGTGCTGGATTGTTGATGTAGGCTTTCAGAATGCTGTTGCATTTTGCTTGTCCTGTAACTCAGTCGAATTGTGAATTAGGGATGCAATGTTGAAGTAGGGTTTTAGAATGATTGCAATGTTGAGTTCGGGTTTTAGAATGATATTGCATTCTGCTTATTTAGTGATTTAAACAAGAACTTTCTTTCTTTTGTATTCTCTTTATATATCATTTAACATCTAGCTGGCTCTGTGAAGTATTCTTGATTTGGGCTTTATCGCTTTTAGAAAGGTTTATGCTTGCTGCTAAATTTATTTTGTTTTCATTTGTTGCATAATGCATGTAATCTAGATACTGTTTCTTTGTATTTGTTGCCTAGTGATTGCCTGCTAAGTTTATGTTATTTCATTTGTTGCATGTAATCTAAGACAATGTGTTTTTTGAATTTTTTGCTTTACGCTTACCTGCAAAGTTTATTTTATTTTCAATTGTTGCATATAATCTAGACATTGTTTTTTCGCATTTGTTACCTGATCCGACTGCCATGGGTTTACAAAGAGATTTGTAGTTTGCTTGACTGTCAACTGCTATGGGTTCTTCTCTAATTTGGGCATTTGGAAGACTGTAAATTTTCGTCACTTTACGGCTAAACTCGTTAGTTGTTATTATTTGATTTTTATTGAAAGCTTTTCTCCCCTCAATTGGATTTTTGTGCTATGTTTATGTTATCTGAGGATGACTTTATTGCATTTCTTTTGTGCTTATTGTTCAAAGATAGTGACTTCCTTGGCCAAAGCTGCATTCATTTTAAGATTGGTCCCTTGCTGTTGATTTTAACAAGAGATTGTGACTTGCTGGTTGTACATTATCTACTTAAGATTGGTTCATTTCCAATTTCCTAAACATGGGTGGATCATATTTTAGGTATTTGGTTACTCATGGGGAGTGCAGTTTTCTCAACCTCCAAATGTGTTCATGTTTCTAATTGTAAATTACATGCCTCCCATGTGCCTCTCCCATGGCCTATTTTAAAGTGATTATGGTAACCAAGCCATGCTTTTTTATCTCTTTTATCTAATTCTAGTGACTTTGAAATTTGGGAACCGAAGAACATCCCAATTTCATGTGAGCCTATACTCATTTACCTTTACGGCCTCTGTGTGTGTGTGTGTGTGTATGCGTGCATGTGTGTGTGTGTGTGTGAGATATCGCTTTCCTAGCATCAAATGCCTTTGAGAAAAGATTATAAAGTTGTTGTCATTTAATTTTATTGCATCTCTCTCTCTCTCTC